GTAGTAGTAGTAGTAGTAGTAGTAGTAGTAGTAGTAGTAGTAGTAGTAGTAGTAGTAGTAGTAGTAGTAGTACTAGTAGTAGTAGTAGTAGTAGTAGTAGTAGTAGTAGAGAATGTGATATTTTTGTAGAATAACATCCATATTTTCTAATATTTGGTAATTTTAATAATGATTATTTAGTTTTCACAAAGAAAAAGTTTAAATATATCAATGATTAGCTATTTTTCTTATTTTTAATGCATATATGAATCGTAATACTTTAAAACTATTAAATTTTGTACTACCTCCGTCCCTGAGTATTTGTCCAGTTTTGACTTTTTTCAGTCAATTGTTTTCAACCTTTGACCTATAATTAAATAAAATATATATTGTATATTAATTAGATGAAATAATATTTTGAAAATACTTGATATAATAAATATAATAAAATTATTTTTGTATCATTGTCTTTGTATCATTTTTATTGAATTCATGGTCAAAGTTTACCAATTTTGACCGAAAAAAGTCAAAAGTGGACAAATACTCATAGATGGAGGAAGTAATAAATTTAAGTTTAATTTAAATGAAATTTAAATTCATCTACACCAAATCTAATTAGATTTCAATCAAATCCAATCAAATCATATCCAATCAGATTAGATTCAGATCCAATGAGATCAAATCAAATCAGATCAGATCCAATCAGATCAGAACTTCAAAAATTCAGATCAGATTCAATTACGAAATAGAGTCTTACCCTTCTACTCAAACCTTATCTCTCCACCAAAACTTGTTTCTCATCCATCCGTCTCCTCCATCATCACCTAAGTATCATCACCTCAAACGATAATAGATCGTGGTGTGATTTTTTTTCTTTTTGATGGACAAATGGATGGGTTTGTGGAGGTGAGTTGTTTTTATACTTCTATAATTTTGCAAATAACTTTGAGGCCCCGTTTGGTACAAGGAATTCAAACTATGGAATTGGAATTGAGGACTTCAATTCCAATCCTGGTGTTTGGTAGCACAAATATTGTGTGGATTTGGAATTGATAGTGCGAAAAATGAATTGAAATTGTGTGAATTCAATTCTATGGAATTGAATCACATGGAATCCTAATTCCAATTCAATTCCAATTCCACCAATTCCGTATACCAAACGGACCCTGAGAGTATTTTGGGAAAGTCACTCTAATTTTTCCATTCCTTATTTTCTAGTTAAAGTCAAACTAGGTGACTTAAAACGGAACGAAGCATAAACTTTTCTAACTAAAACCACCTCTTCAAGCCTTATAAGGCAATCCAAGGGTAAACTTTATTGCGGACCTGATCCATTGTTTCTCCATATATGAGCTGCTAAATGCCATTTTCAGTTATTAAAACAGTACATAGCAATGTATATTGTAGGAAATATTGTTCTTTAATCTCTGGCTTCATTTGTTTTAATGAAATTGATGCAGTATTATTTAAAAAAAGGACAAAAGTACACCTCCGGTAGGACTACACCAAAGCCCCAAAAGTAGAATCTCTGGCTTCATTATGAATAGAAGACTAATGACCAAATTCATAGCGTTCAACAATGGCTTGTATAATGTAAATGGTAGGTTTGTGTTCAAGGCATGGGAGAAGCAGGCAAAAAGGATGAGCTCAAAGTTTTCACACACAATATAGGACATGCTTAAACTTGCTGTGTACACAATTGCCAATCTTCTCTTGACAGGTCAACATACTCGTTCTTCCCATCTTCAAACAGTATCTGTTAACAAAAAAAGTCACATCTTGAGATCAAGACTAGTTTCAGTGACACATGAACTCGTGGAGTCTTACCAGATGTTTTCTTGTTGTGCTGTTATACAGTTTTATAGCTCCAAAAGACCTGAAATGCAGCCCATTATGAAGTGTGTCAAACAAAAGATTCTTAATAATGAAACCTATATGTATATACAATGTCATTCCATTATCAGGGTGATTTCAATATTCGGTTGGGGTTGGGGGAGGGAATGCAAGAACCCAATGCAATCCTAATTTTGTCAGGGTATGCATTGCTGCATTTACTTCCTAAGACTTCATTAAAAAAACAAGGGAAGTCAGACAAACCAATCATTAGAAGAGTGGCTTATTCTAATGACTTGACCAATGCAGCTATGTGGACACCTTACTCTTTGAACAAGATCATGACACAAATTTCCTGAACATGGAAAGAATATCATCACACAGCCTCCAAGTAATCATTGAACCAAATGTTGTCATTTGAAATGTTGATTGGGAAAAATGAATAAAGGAAGGTACAAGAAGTCTACCTGCTGCTGGGTGGCTGCCATTTAGGTAGGCCTTCATGTTAAAACACAGACGATAGCATTTAGCAAAAAAATGCATGGAATATCTAAATTCCTTAATGGATGACATAAAATCATTCGGAATGCTAATGAAGATAAAACATGCAAAATCTTGAAACTCACTTTAAAGTGTAGCTGAGTGGGAATGAACTACTGCTACATGTAGAACACTTCACGTAGAATGAACATATAAAATCATCATACAGGGAAAAAAATTCATATGAACTTCTTAAGGAGCTTTAGAGTGTGCTTGGGTATACTAGTCGAAACATCTCTATGAACTTGTTAGTGAACTTCAAAGATTTCACTCCCTCCATCCAAAAATTATCTTCCCATGTTAAAATGGCACGGAGATTAAGAGTAAAACAATAACATTACCCTAGTGCCTCAAAGGCTCCCCGCACATTGCAAGGTAAGGGTGGTCGGATGTACGCAGCCTGAGTGCCTGACCACTATGTTTAAGACATGGAGCGGTTGTTTCCAGATGACCCATGATGAGCATCGAAAGTTGCATTAACTAACCGCTACTTTACTATCAAAAGAAGCACATATAATTAACGCCCATGCCTACGTTTTAAGGTTTGGTAACATGAAAGGAAAAGGTATTAAATATGTAGGCTATCAAGAAACCAATGTACTTTCATTTAAAAGTAGTAAAAGACATGCCAAAAAAAGGAAATGGGAAGTTGAATTTGGGAAACCCCAATAAAAAAGTGGGATGTTAATTTTGGGTGGAAATGACTAATAAAATTAAAATCGAGGACAGTGATAATCTATCAAAACTCTACGGAGTGATAATGCCCAATGGTCTTTTGACTATCATTATTGAATCACAGAGGTATCTTTCACGAGAGTTCGCCTTATAACACTCCAAGCAAAATGAAGTGGCAAAACAGAAAAAACTGGCCCTTTGTTGAAAAGCTAGAAAAGGTCATACTACACTTAACTACAAAGTTTCACGCCGTATTCAGAAGGGGAGTAGTTTTATTTTACACTAATGTTATTACATGAATCACATATCATCCCCTATCCTTAACAACAAATCACCATATAATCTCCTTTTTGTATGCCTATGAATAAAACATCTTTTCTGTTTCTAATTGAGCTTCCAAGAAAAAATAGAAGATGAGCATTGTATCAAATGTTCAAAAACTAGGGAAAACATTAAACAAATCTACAATAAAATTTATTTTAAAAGTTTCATATTATCTGGCCTAAATGGCACCCTGAAGTGAAACTAATTAGTGCAGCATGGTGAAAAACTATCACCAAGCAAAAACATTAAATCATCCTATTGAAAAGTTGAGGACGACAACAACAGCAATGATGATGGTGATGCTTATGATCATATTTGTCAAGAGTTAATTTACCAGGGTAAACATTCAGCAGATATACTGTAAAATTCAGTTGGTACTTCAAAATAAATTGCTAAAGTGGCCAGTAGCAACTGTGACAAGACCTATCATAATTCATAACTCTCTTGGTAAAAATAAACCTTAATACGCCGTAGTTGACAACTACCTCTCTTGCAGATAGAAGTGCTCTCACTTTGGGAGAAGTAGCAGCCACCTGGCAGGCCACTAAATGCAATGCAGCATCTGATGAAGATATCTTGGTCTTGGTTGGTTTGAAACCAAGTGTTTGTCTACAGCCTTCCGCTCCACAGTGGCAATCCTGATCTGCACCAAACTGTACAAACCTGCTACCCTTTTTAGACAAATTTATACAGGATTTGCCTCAAAAACGTAAGGTACCAACATGTTAATTTCATGCAAAAACACAAGAAACAACCCAATAGAATAAATTCATAAAGCAGAAAACTAACGCTTAGCCCATTATAATCCTTACTCCATTGGGATGCTTAGATAGTAACAACACTTCGCCCAATATAATCCTTACTCCATTGGGGTACTTGAAAATTCTCATATAAAAGTCAGGTTAGGTGACTGAAGGGGCACCCAGTCGCTAACTAATTGCCCCACAATATTTTGAGACAATTACCCTTTTGTACTTTGGAAAGGTAGAGCCTAAGTGGCTGCATAGACTCAAGTTTAGAGCTCAGAAATACTCTGTAATAAATTATAATCACATCACCCATACTTATAATCATAGGTTAGATGCTCGCCCCTTTTTATGTCACGCTTTGCAAATATGCCAATTCTTGTTTCTCCATCAATCATCCTATAATACAACACCATGTAAAAGGAATCAGATAGAAAAAGAAGTGTACCCAACATGAAGAAGTGCATAAAAATTACAGTAAAAAGATAACCATACCATTTCTGCATCTCAGTATTAGGACAGCAACTGTGATTAATGTATCTTGATTTGTTTCCCTTGTAAGTTGCATCAATAACAGTATCCCGGTTGATTTCACACAAGTAAAAATTAGTTTCCCCACTGTGCTTCATTTTCCAGAGCCTCTCCTCGCATGTCTTGTCATCAATAACTGCAGCAAACATTTTCTTGCATGCCGAAAATACTGTGCAGAGTTATAATTATGATCTTACCAAAATATACAAACTGAATCTCTCACCTTCCCCAACATATTCTATAACAAACTCTTTGCGCTTAATATCTTCATCTGCCACAATGCCAGAGCCACATTTCTCTGTCTGCAAGTTGAATTTGCAAAGTTGGACAGTAAAGAGGGAAAAATGTTTAGAAGCTTAATGTTTGCATATATTTAAACATTTGTAGAAATAAAAGCCAAATTAAACAAACATACATTGAAAGAACTCACAACATTGTAATTTTAAAATATCAAAATATAATAATAAGGAAATAGGAGCCAAAGACACCAATGAAAGATTTCAACAATACTTACATAAATGGTACAAATTAGCTATTGCATGAAGACATACTATTTTGTATACCCAGTAAACAACCTTCAGAATCTATTCTGTTTTTTTAATGGAAAAATTTATGCCAATAATCTCAAAAATTTGAGATTTAACAAGAATACTCCAAGATTACATATTTATCACCAATTCTCTCTAAAATTCAATACTTCTACAATAATACTCCAAGAGAATTTTCAGTTTACATTGATCCCCCATTTTTTAGGCTTATTTATGAACAATATGCAATCTCGAGTGTTATTGTAAAAATATAAACTTTCCAAGAGCACTAACAATATTTATATAATCTTGCAGTATTTGTTTAAAATCTCAAATTTCTAGGAGTATTGGAATGAATTTTTCCTTTTAAAATTTATAGATAGATATGTTAAACTGTTATAGTGAACACAGCCTCATGATCATTTTTGTTCCTTTTCCCTTTTTAATTATTCTACTTCCACCACATAAACAGCAAGGTTCAATAGTTGAGGACAAATAACGCAACGGGTGATGTCTTTCTCTAAGAACCTTAGGGCATATTTGGTGAGCGTAGATATGGGTTCCAACCCTCCCAAATGGGGGTGTGTTTTGATATCTCCAAAATATGGGAGATATCAATCTAGGGGTTTGGTATCTCCCTCAACCACGACCACCCCC